CAATTAATGTAGAAAAGAGGCACAAAAATGTTTTTGCGATTCAATGAACTGTAGGGGTTATATCGGCGCCACAGAAGGCGCTAACATATTAACCGACGGCTCAAAGATAACCACAAAAGTACGCGAAGAGTTGGATGAGTCGCTCGAAGACGATGAGATACTCGAAGATCTCGCCGTAAGTTTTATTTCATTGATTTTATTGACACAAACGCTTAAATAACTAAAGCATAAAAAGCAGTCATTTGTATGAAATTTGTTCCTTAAATCCGAATAATTTTTTTCGCAGTTCTCTTCTCTCTTGTTATCAAATAAACGAATTTTGGATTTTATTATATCTTTTGGATATTATTTCACGAATTAAATACCAATATTAAGAGGACTCTCTGTTGAGAGCAGTATTCCGAAAGCCATTGAATTTATGAGAAAATGCAAGACTTCTCTCTAAAACGATGATAACTAATGAAATCATAATTTTTATAATTTCAATACAATGACTGCTTTTATGAATGCTGTGTATTGTATGTGTTTTATCACATATTTGAGACATAATTGTCTGCATTATTTACATTAATCTCGTTTTGTGTTAAAAACAGTTCGAAGAAGAGATCGCTAAACTGGCCGAAGGCGGCGGACTCAGGAACCGACAACAGGTGCTTACTTTGGCTCGGCTTATGGTTCGCGCCGAAGACACGCCATCGAGGATTAAGTTAATTAATATAATTAAGGGAACGATAGAAATGGCATATTTACGACTACTACTCGATTATCACGGCTTACAACTGGTGTGGAGCTGGATGTTTGAGGTCGAGGACTATGAACTCAAAGCAGCCATTTTAGAGCTCCTCGAGATCCTTCCCATTCCTAACAAAACAATGTTAACCGATAGTAAAGTATATTCAGTGGTCGAGCGATGGTCTCAACAGACAGATGGGCCTATCATTAAAAGCATTGAATCATTAACTCCAAGCTCCTCGAGATCCTTCCCATTCCTAACAAAACAATGTTAACCGATAGTAAAGTATATTCAGTGGTCGAGCGATGGTCTCAACAGACAGATGGGCCTATCATTAAAAGCATTGAATCATTAACTCCTTTGACTTCGGAACCGCCAATCGTTGAACCAATCGTTGAGCAAATTGTTGAACCAATTATTGAGCCAATCGATGAGCCGAAGGTTGAGCCAATGGTTGAGCCGATGGTTAAGCCAATCGATGAGCCAATGGTTGAACAAATCGTTGAGCCGACGGTTGAACCAATCGGTGATACAATGGTTGAGCCGATGGTTAAGCCAATAGATGAGCCAATAGATGAGCCAATGATTGAACCAATCGTTGAGCCGACGGTTGAACCAATCGATGATCCAATGGTTGAGCCGATGGTTAAGCCAATAGATGAGCCAATGATTGAACCAATCGTTGAGCCGATGGTCGAGCCAATCGTTGATCCAATTGGTGAATCAATTGTTGCGCCCGAAGACAGTGCTATGAATGAGAGTACTGAAGAAGTCAAGTCAGAAGTTCCTCCCGACACCGTTGTCTGTGATAGTAGTGAAGCCACTGATGCTCTCATTGAAGCTCCTCGAGATCCTTCCCATTCCTAACAAAACAATGTTAACCGATAGTAAAGTATATTCAGTGGTCGAGCGATGGTCTCAACAGACAGATGGGCCTATCATTAAAAGCATTGAATCATTAACTCCGTTGACTTCGGAACCGCCAATCGTTGAACCTATTGTTGAATCAATTATTGAGCCAATCGATGAGCCGAAGGTTGAGCCAATTGATGAGCCGATGGTTAAGCCAATCGATGGGCCAATGGTTGAACCAATCGTTGAGCCGACGGGTGAACCAATCGATGAGCCAATGGTTGAGTCAATCGTTGAGCCAATTGTTGAGCCGACGGTTGAACCAATCGATGAGCCAATAGATGAGCCAATGATTGAACCAATCGTTGAGCGGATGGTCGAGCCAATTGGTGAATCAATTGTTGCGCCCGAAGACAGTGCTATGAATGAGAGTACTGAAGAAGTCAAGTCAGAAGTTCCTCCCGACACCGTTGTCTGTGATAGTAGTGAAGCCACTGATGCTCTCATTGATGTCAAACCCGAAGCAATTGTAGAAATAGAACCACAAGCAGAGCCCACTCCCACTGAGGGTACAGATGTATCGCATGAGATCTGTTCCACAACTAAAGTGGAAGAATCTGATCCATTAAAAGACGATATAAAAGCTGAGAAAGAGAGTGAGACGGAGACCGACAAAGAATTGGCCACTAATAGCGTTAAATCTAGTCCACGAATAGAACTAAAGAGTTCTTCGTTATCGTTAGTGATAAAACCGCGGTCTTTGCCGAACGCTGCGAAACCCGAAACACCGCAAACCTCTCCTCCAGTGGTTAAGTCTAAGCCGAGTATCGCATCAATGGCTCAAAAATTGTTACTTAATTGGAAAGAACTGAAAGAAGTTTTTAGAATTCCTCGACTCGAGAGACAGAAGCGATACGAAGACGAGAAAGAGGCCGACAGGAAGACTATGGAAGTGGAGGAGCGGAGGGCCCGAGGATTACCTCTAAACTACGACAAGAGAGGGATTGACGACAGAGACTATACGATCGCTGGTATTCTCGGCACTAAACGCAAGGGAATCAAAAGAGGCAACGAATCTAAAGACACGCCCAATAAGAAGCCGTCGAACGCATTCACGCAACAGATAATGTCATCCAATTATAACATAAATAAAGTGAGTAAAGAAGAGCACCGGAAGATGTTTGAGATGGAAGTGGCGCAGAAGGACTATCAGGAGGCGCTCAAACGCTATCACCAACAGTTGGCCTATTATAACGCCGTTTACGGCCCCCAATATCAGGCACAACAACAACAACAGCAACAATCACAACAACCATTTTATGCAACACCAGAGGCGCCCGTCGTTCCCACCGAACAGTATCCCAACGCTTACGGTTACGGCGAACAGTACTATAACACCGATCCAAACGGNGCCCCCAATATCAGGCACAACAACAACAACAGCAACAATCACAACAACCATTTTATGCAACACCAGAGGCGCCCGTCGTTCCCACCGAACAGTATCCCAACGCTTACGGTTACGGCGAACAGTACTATAACACCGATCCAAACGGTTATTATCAGCAGACCGTTGCCTATCCAACGGTGCCCACAGAGACGGCTACTGGCTATGAATACGCCAACGCAGAGACCGCCCAACCGTTGACTGATTATATTGAGGACAATACCGCTTATGAAGAGAATACGTTGTTAGGTATCGAAACGGCTCCCAATTTAGTGCCATTGGCTAATATTGACTGTCAATTTGCCACCGAAACTGAGTCTTCGTTGGCCATTGATTCGGTTCCACACCATTGTCTTGTTTATAACGATTGTGACAAAAAATCAGATAAAAGTGATCCTATATTTGACGCCCTCTATCCGCCGCCCGGAGTCTTCTATGTGACCCCTGAAGGACACAACTATTTTACGCCAATACCTATCGATCGCAACCAAAATGCCGTTCAAATTGTTTTCAATAATAACATTACGGTTCCGTTTGACAGCATTTATACCAAATCTTTAACTACTATTAAACTGGAACCCAATTGGATGCATCGCAGCGACAGTAATGGCAATATTTATTATTACAATAAAATGAAACCAAAGTCCCAATGGATTCCACCCGAAGAGGTTCCTCCAAAATGCGTGACACCCGTAGCGGCTATAGTAGAGGCCATTGAACCGATCGCTGATATAACGGCTGCCATTACTAAACAGACTGATAACGAAGACTCGACTTCAGTGCCAGAAGTGACGCCTCACACGACACCCAAATCTGAAGCGGCGGATGAGCCGATGGACGCGACCGCCATAATGGCCTCCATAGCCGCCAGCATCGCAGCGCCCGTTAGCGTAGACCCTGTTGTCGCAGACAACGAGAACTCAATCAATTCGACCCACAGTTCACCAAATCTTCTGCAATCTATACTCGCATTGGAAGCGGATCCACGAAAGCGGCGACAATTGCTTAACTCAGCGCTACCGTCGACCACAACGGCCGCCGCCGACACCTCATCGTCGGCGACGCGCAAGAAGTCGTTTCACTCGACGCGTCAAATACAAGAGTATTTCCGGACAAAAATGTCTGAATATGTGGTCCATTGTCTTAATCCTTACCGACGGCCCGAATGCAAGAAAGGAAGGATTTTAAACAACACTGATTTCAAATATTTGGCCCGAAAAGTAATGTTTAAGATTAGTGTTTAAAATGAATATTTAGTATTAATTGAATTGTTTTTATGTTTAGTTGACGCATACTATAATGGGAAAAGAGATCAAACAATGCAAATCATTGGAACAGTTGTCTTGTAATGAATCAGTAAAGACTAAGACAAAGGAATACGTGAAGAAATATATGGCCCGATTCGGCCCCTTCTATAAGACAGAGAACACGACCGCCGACAGCCATAAAGCGGTCGTTTCGCCCAAAGATGTTGTGTCTAACACTGCGAACGATTGAAAACATTTTCAATTTAATTGTAAATTAAAGTTAAATATTTTTCGAAATACATGTAAATATCATAAAACAAAAGACATTAAATTTTTATATAAATTATGATATTATTGTAAGAATGAGTCCACACTTTCAGCCATAAAATGCATCCGAGACTCGACATGACATGACATCTCATCCATCCATACATTAAAATAATTTTCTCACTTAAATGTTGTAATAATTGAGTTGTAAATGAAGTTTTAGTTTCATTATTAGAAATGAAAAA